AACACCAAAATTATCAAAATTTACCAAAACAAAATTTAATATCCTTAAACCATAATTCACAAAATTCTTATACCCTAATTTCTACTCCACAAGCATTTACGCGACCAATTGACATCAATTATTATTAAACTAGAGACAAATAAAAATAGAACTTTACCATCTCGTCCAACAATTGGAATATTGTCTTTGTCTCACTACTGTCCATTGTAATAGATACATGTATAAATATCAATATATATGTGTATATATAAATATATATATAAATTGGTAAACAAAACCCGGCAAAGAAGTTATAGTGTTATTGCGAACTGCGCCGCCGATATCTTGCCGGTAACTATTTTCAGATTTCTTAGCACATGGGAATAATATTATACAGAGGCGCCAGGGAATAAGAAAAATATTAGAGATATATATATATATATATATATATATATATATATATATAGAATTTGATGTTGATATATATGTTTGAATTGAGTTTAATATTAGGGCGTAACATCAATAAAAATAGTATGAGAGTTTTTTTAAAAGTTTATTTATTTAAAATCCATACGTTTCGGCTAGCATCTTAGCCATCATTCAGTGGTAATCAAATTAACTATAAAAAAATGAAACTAAATAAATTATATGAAAGAAAATTTCATGAAAAAATGCAATAAGATGCTAGCCGAAACGTATGGATTTCAAATAAATAAACTTTTAAAAAAACTCTCATACTATTTATATTGATGTTACGCCCGAATATTAAACTCAAATTAAACATATATATCAACATCAAATTCAAGACTATTCAAATATATATATATATATATATATATATATATATATATGTATATATATATGTATATATATGAATATATATATATATATATATGTATATATATGAATATATATTATATGATTTTCTAAAATCTCTACGTTTCGACTTCAATCTTAGCCTTCTTTCAGGGGAACTAAAATTAAATTTATACCAAAGGGGGCGCCTACCAATGAGGTGACATTTTTACATTTAGAAGGGGTAAAAATTTATTAAAAAATGTTACAAGATATTACATGGAAAAAATTCTTTTCATATATTTCTTTTATCCTGAATTAAAAAAAAACGAAATAAAAAAACTGTGGTGCCTTAGGCAAATTCCATCGTGCCTTAAGGCAAATTGCTTGAACTTCCCGTGCCAAAAACTAAATTATTAAATGAAACTTTGCTAAACTTCGAAAAAATTAGATTTTTGAGTATTTTTGAAAACAATTGACTTTTTTAACAATTTGATTTTTTTGTGTATTTCACCATTTTTATATCATTTTTGTCACTTTTTGCCCCGTGACTTCGGTTCAAATCGGTTGATTCTTCCGTGGATGAAAAATTGTATCCAAACATGAATACACACACACACATAAAGTCATTTTTTCTAAGGTATGCCAAAATGTTCAGAAACCTTTGAAACGTAAAGATATATAAACATTTTCATTTTCGATTTTTTTGCGATTACTATAACTTGCCCTACGGGAAGTAAAAAATTGAAGAATGTGACAATAGAGTTTGAAAAATTACAAGCTAAAAGTAGAAGACATGATAATTTATTAAAGTATGTAATTAACATTTGTGTTTATAAAATTGTTTCACATTTTTACAAAAAAGTGCGGATCATGTGCGATCTGCAGATTAGTTGGAGTTATGATAAAGATTTTTCTAAAATATTTTTTCACCAAGAGTCTCTAATTTATGTAAAATATTTAATTTCTATATATAAAGATAAGACAATATTGGGCATGCGACAGTTTTCATTTGTTTTCAATACCAAACAATAACATGTCCTTTTTGCAATTTATTTCTACAATATTACTGAATTTTTATAATCACAACAATCCTAAAAAATTCCCTTAACAAACTTCAGAAAGATTTATCAAAATCCAAATAATCGTTTAAGAGGAGTATATTTACATACATCATTACAGAAGAATTTTGGTGGTCCTTAATATGGATATTTTCGGATTTCTTTGCTCCCAAGGGCTCAAATGCTTCCAAATTGATTTAAAAAAATTCTCTGAAAGTTTTAAAATCTTAATATTAACTTTAAGATAGTCCACACTCTAACCAAAGTTTCTTATGGAAATAACATGGGAAAATTACGTTTTTTAGAATTCCCCAATATCGTATCGCATTCTAGAAAACTGATTTCATTCCTAATCACTTCGAGTTCTAAATATTGTAGTAGTTTATTTATAATTATTTATTATTACAAGTTGTTCCACTTAATTCCACTATGGAAATAATAATGCTGACATATCGAATCGGATGCAAAGTGCAAATGCATTGACTTCACAATTGCTGACTATCAATAATTTGTTCGGCCGACACTCTAATTAAAATTTACTACAAGACAGCTACGTATTTTAATAAAATACTCATTTGTAAATATATATTACTTTGTTTTACAGTTTTCTCGAAAATTATTAAGGACAAAATGAAAATATAAGAAATTTCGTAAAATTTTTTTTTTCCTACCATAGAGATATTTCGGCTGTTTCGTGATAGTAAATTTTTTTTAAGAAGTCATTTCAGTTATTATTCAGTTATTCAGCATGCCAAAAATTTTAATTTACTTATGAGCCTAGACAATATTAGAATATGTATAACAAAATCATGATTATGAATAAAAAAAATGAAATGTCTACATTATTATTGCTTAAAAGCGGCTGAGATGTGCCAAAAATTAAAATAATATAAGATACAGTATATATATGTATGGCAGAAGTACTAGTGCTATGTTATCGTTGTGTTTAATAATGAAAGGCTAGAATTTTTTTGCTTGCTGAATTTGTTATATCGTTTAAAAGACTTAAATTTCCAATGTAGTGTAGAAATTGAGACAAATCATTTTATTTATAGCAGTTCTACATTTAACATCGCTCGTATTGTAAAATGTATATGCATTTTGGTGAAAAAAAATAATTTAAAAAACAATAATTATTATTTTTAGGTAAACAGGACAATGTCTATCGGGTCATCTAGTATATATATATATACATGGTCTGTTCAAAAAGTACCCGGAATTACTAATAATTAAATTTCGCGGGTCTGGAGTGTCTGATTGTCAAAATTTTTTTTTTATTGTGTTGGTATACATGCCCCTAAAGTATGATGAAATTTTCAGCTATATTCACTGTTTACTTTGTCTGTGGTAGTCGCTAAGGTTCGACGTGTTTTTCTGAGCTCGGCGATTTTTACAATGGAAGAATTGAAAAAGTCAAAGAATTTGTATTAAATTTTGCGTAAAAAATGAAATAAAGTGTTGCAAAGTGCAAAAATTCACCAGATATGGCTCCGTGTGACTTTTTCCTATTCCCAAAGTTGAAGAGACCCATGAAAGGACGGCGGTTTTCCTCGATTGAAGAAATAAAGGCCGAATCGCCGAGAGTGCTCAAGGACATATCAAAAAGTGAATATCAAGGGTGCTTCGAAAATTGGAAAAAACGCTGGCATAAGTGTATTATATCTGGGGGGGACTACTTTGAAGGGGACCACATTAATGTAGACGAATAAATAAATATTTTTTTGAAAAAACGAAAATTCCGGGTACTTTTTGAACAGACCTCGAATATATATATATATATATATATATATATATATATACATATTTCATTGTATATACAATATAATCAATTATATAAAACAACCACAAATATAAACAAAGTAAAAAATTCCATTCCTTTAAGTAGCAACAATTATTCAAGATAAATGTGTTACGAGAAAAATCTACATAATATTTTCAAGGTATTTCTTTAAATATATTTTAGGCCTTATATGAATATCTGTTAATATATTGAAAATATATATAATGTTTTTAATACAAATGCTAAAAAACATTATATAGAACACCTATATAATGAATAAGTAGTCTAGGTTAATCTAAAGTATCATTAGATTAATAATAAATGCCAATAAATACTACAATTTTACTGATGTAAAATGTAATTAATTGTATTGAAATCAAGTGGATGGATCTATCTATGTGTTAAAATAAAAATGTATTCATAATTTTAGTCAAATCTTTTCAAAAAAAAAATGACATGGGATAAATATATTCATAAATACCTGGAATAAAACCTGTTCTATATATATCTACAATTAATTTATTACACATAAAAGCTAAAAGAGCTCAGTTTTTGTTTAATCGTATCTAACATACTTATAAGTGTATTATATAAATCGTATCGTTTGTTATCTGATTATTTTGTACTAAAAAAGTGAAACCATAACTCGACAACTTAATATTTTGAATTAAATCTAAATTAAATCTTATATCTGTCTTCATTTTGTGCTAACAAAAAATCCTCTTATCCTATTCATCCTTTCATGAAAAGGAATAATTGTATAATATTTAAATCAAGTCAATGGATCTATCTATCTGTTAAAACAAAAATGTATTCTAATTTTTAGTCAAATCTCCTAGATGTAAAATTTATCATTGAGTTGTAGACTTATATTCATGATATTAACTGATGGCTCATTTGCTCAATTGTCTTTAACATGCTTATAAGCGTTTTTTATTAATTCTTTGATTTAAATGGTATTGAATGCTGATTGATTATATTGTTCAATCGAACAGTAGTACTAGCTAATTCGATAACTTAGTAATCAATGTTTTCTGTTGAAATAAATCTTATATATGTCATCATCTCATGAACCTCGACATATGGGGTTATCCTTCATACTAACAAATTCCTGTAATAGTCTTTTATATAATCCTTATACTTATCATATCATCCTGAGTCTTACGTGCTCTTTAGTTTATACTCGAAGAGCCTATACAGAAAGGTTAGTACACAGTAATGTCCTAACCATGTGGCAAGTTTTAATTTCCTCAACTCAGTTGTGTCATCCATCAGTTATCTATGTTGTTTCCAATATACAAATTTATCTTACAATCCCCTTATCTTATCTCAAACATATATCAACCAAGTGCATCTGTTTTAAGTGTATCTGTGCAAGTACATACCATAAAATTATTAGCACCATCCGAATCGCCTTTCAAGCCGGTCGTGAACTTGTCATCATCACTTTTCGTCAACAAAAAGTCCATCAGATTAATATCCATCGGCACCGACATATTCACTACAATATCTTTCAACAAACAATATATACTTTATAACAATGTTCATTAAACCTCACAATACATTATATTTTCGGCTTCATTTTGCACAACAATGTGTATTTATTTATTATTATATTATTGTTTATCACAATTCTCACAAACGTCAACGTGGAACTAATTACGTCACGGGAGTAAAAGGACACTCGTAGAGATCTTATTGGATCTGAATGGTTTTGTAGTTTTTCCGAGTTCTGGCTAGGATTCGAGAGTGGGGATTGGTTGGACGGGGTAAGAGTGATAGTGGCTGACCAATGGGAACGCGCGTAAGTAGGGCAATCGATGTAAATGGCAAATACAATGGTGACATCTTGAGAAAAACTGGTAAAGGTTTGGTTCTTGGATGACACAAAATGGACGATTTTTGAATTTAAATTCAGTTTTCTTAATTTTCACAAGGATCTTTATCCTTTAAATGATGATCCAAGACTCCTGTAGAACCTTTCAACATTAATAATCATTACTACATTAATCTCTGTCTTTTTCAAATGCTTTTTCCTTATATTAGCAAGTTTAATATTTTTCTATTCGCTAGATTAATTTCTACCTTGATCAATGATTTCTTTTATATTTGCACATATTAATATTAACAATAGGCTTTCTTCTTTACGCAGTAAATATATTTTTTTTTAATTTCTACAAAATGTATTGGACTTTGAACTACACTAGCCATGGATAAATAAACGCTAAATAACAATAAATAACTTTTTTTCTGCGGTTTTCTGGTTATTGGACATTATTCGTATTTACATTTTTGCCCAGGTCTTTCAATATTTATTAAATTATTTCCTATTTTTTACATTTCATTTTTCTTTTCTTTTTTTTTATTATTTTTTATTTTTTCTTCCTGTTTTTTTTCATTTTTGGGCATATTTTCCTCATTATACCATTTTTTCTAAATTTTTTACTTTTTAGCATATCTTCCTATATTTTTTACTTTCTTTGGACATTCTTCCCATTTACATTTCTCAATTTTTAACTTCCCGTAAGGCAAGTTATAGTAATCGCATAAAAATTTTTTATATATCATTACGTTTCAAAACCTTCTGAACATTTTGGCATACCTTAGAAAAAATGGATTTATGTGTGTGTGTTCGGATACAAATTTTCGTCGACGATTTCGGGAACACCGATCAACCGATTTGAATAATTAAAAAAACATTCGATTCGTATTGTTAAGGTGACGTGCTGATTAGTTTTTGGCAAAGGCAGGTCTAGCCGTTCCGAAGATATGGGGCAAAAAGCGCCAAAAATGGTAACTCAGTTTTTAAGAGAACGGAGCGTCCAATTTGAATAATTCAAAGAACATTTTACTTGTATTAACAAGATGAAGAACTGATCAAATTTTCATAAAGGTAGGTCTAACGGTTTCGGAGATCTAGTAAAAAAAAGTAAAAAACAATGCCATTTGACGGTCAAAAATTATCATTAGATTTATGCACATCAAATTATCAGATATTTTAACAATAAGTATTAATTTTATTTACATTTCTATGGGTTCCGTACCAATGTTTATCCGTTAGACGGCGACGCGGCGCTTCAATGTTTTGTCTCTATGCAGTTAAAGCAGTACGATTGCTTTGAAAAAAAAGTTCAGAATTTCCAAAATATTTCAAAATAAATTTTTCTTCAGTCTTTTTTTTTTCATTTTTGTCAAATTTATAGTTTCTATCTAACCTAATTTTTTCAGAGTAAATTTTTCTCAAAAATGTTAATCTTAAAAAAAAAATTGGTACTGGAAGTTCCAGCAATTTGCCTTAAGGCACGATGCCATGCGCCCTATTAGTCAGTCATTTATGGTCAGTTTTTCAAAATTATTAATTTTTTGAGTTATTTTCTTAAATGTTTACTGCACTTCAATTAACATTTTTCCTATTTTTCTTTCATTTTTGGCATTTATTTGAATTTAAAATTTTGGACATTTTTTTCTAAAACTTTGTGAATTGATCTTTTAAAAATTTATATATTAATACTGCATATTATAACTCACAAAAACCTATAAAAACTTTATAAATTATTATTAGAAATATTTTTGATTTAAAATAATTTATTTTGCTTAAGAATTTTCAATTGAAAAATTTATTTGTTTATCAAATTCAGCCTGAAATTAATTCTTGATTTGTTTTTTATTGTTTCATATTGTGTCATAACAAAAAAAAAATTGCATTACTACTTTTGCTCTGGTTTACTAAAAACCAAAACGGACTTTCAATTTTCAATTATGCAAATCTCAATTACCTGTTACTATTTTTCTCAATAAATTCCTGATTTGTTTTTCAAAATTTTCATTAAGAAAAAATGATAGCGTAGCTTTTACTCTGATTTACTAAAAAACAAAATACTTTATTATTTGTTTTTAAATTTTGTTATTAATGCTTTCAATTATCAAGTGTCAATTATCTATTACTATTAATAAAGAAAATTCCAAAGTCCAAGAAGTGTTTTTACATTTTTATTTATTAAATATTACACATTTCTCACTTCTGAGGTGCGCTAGAAGCCGAGCTCTTAGAGTCCCTCATGGAGGCTGAACGGCGGCGCTTCAATTCCTCTTGGCGACGGACTTTGGATTCCTTCTTGCGTTGAGCCAACAATTTAGCATAATCCGCAGCTTGTTCTTTACGTTTCAAGCAACGCTTCTTCTTCAAAGCCAGACGGTGCCTCTTGCGTTGCAAGACTGCTGGAGTGATCAGCCTTTGGATCTTGGGGGCCTTTGTACGTGGCTTCTTACCTAAAAATAAAGGACATATGGGATAAATGATAGTAAAGATCAAATTTGAATTTCATAATTCACATATAGAAATTTTATTTATATTAATTATATTAATAACATTCATTCTTTTTTCTAGTAATTTATATTAATGTTCTTCAATTAATAATATATTTAAATATATAATTTTATTTTATGTAGAAAATGTAACTGTAAGTATTTGAATTACAAAATTAACACTTAATGCTTTAGAAGAAATTAAATAAATGCTGAAACATGTAAAAAAAAACAAAAAGTCCGAAAATGTAAGAAAAATTTAGGAAAATTTCAAAAATGTAATTGAGAAAAAATGACCAAAGATAATTTAGAGAAAAATGCCCAAAACTATAAAGTATAAAATGAAAATTAAAAAAAATGCCATGAAATATAATACAAATAGAAAATGGCCAAAAATGTAAACAGGAAAATGAAGAATGTAATGAAAATTTAGATGTTTTTCCAAAAAGTTTAATAGAAATTGGAAAATGGCCAGAAATGTAATTTAGAATTTTTTTCAGAAATATAAAAAAATTGGAGAATGCCTAGAAATGTAAAAAAAATAATGCACAAGGATTTAGAAAAAAAAAGTTTAAAAACGAAATTAAATAAATGCTCAAAAATGTAAGAAAAGTTTCGATAAAAAATCCCAGAAAAGTAAAAAGAAAGTCCAAAAAGCGTCCAAAAATGTAATTTAGAAAAATGTAAGAATCCAAAAAAGGCCAAAATGCAATAAAATTTAGATGAATGCCCAAAAATGTCAAAACTGAGAAATATAAAAAGTAGGAAAAATGTTCAAAAATACAGGACAAAAATGTCAAAGTGAAAAAATACAGAAAAAATGTCAAAATGAGGAAAAATGTCCAAAATTGATTAAACACAAGTGATGAAAAATGTTGAATAGAGAGAATGTCCAAGAATGTAATAAAAATCTAGAAAAA